TTCTCAGTGAGCCACATCTGTATATCAGGCATGGAAGCAATAATTTAGAATGATGCAATTTGCTTAAGTAATGGTGGGTAATGCGCCATTCTGGTGCTTAACCAAGGCTGGAAATTTCAGCTGCAGTTTTGCTGGTCACTGAGCAGCTGAAGCTGAAAACAGTTACAACAAACCAAGCTGTGTAGTTTAAAAAAAAAACTAATCTGCCAATCATTACACCAGAGCTCTCAGATGTACATATGAGCTGTGAGGCTCTTGGGTTTATTTACTTCCTGTAGTACCATGAGCAATTAGGGTTGCCAACTTTCTAATTACACAAAACCAAACACCCTGCCCCCTTCTCCAAGCCCCCTCAAATGTCCACTTCCCCCCCCCCCCCACGCACTCCATTGCCCCTCCTGCCATGGCCTGCTCTCCCCACCCTCACTCACTTTCACTGGGCTGGGGGAATGAGGGGTTTGGGGCACAGGAGGGGGCTCTGGGGTAGTGGTGCAGGCTCTGGGAGGGAGTTAAGGTGTGGGAGGGCATTCCAACCTGGGGCAGGGGGTTGAGGGGGATCAGGAGCAGACTCCAGCTGGGCAGGATTAAGGCTCCCTGCCTGCCTTGATGCTGTGCAGTGCCCGTTAGCGGGCGGCATGGCCCTGCGGCCCACACGTGGAGGGGCCGGGGGCTCTGCCCACACCCACAAGCACTACCCTCACAGCTCCCATTGGCAAGGAACCGCAGCCAGTGGGTGCTGTAGAGCCAGGGCAGGGGTAGCACACAGAGCTTTCCTGATTGTGCCACCACAGAGGAGGCTATGCCGGCCACTTCCTGGAGCTACGCAGAGCCAGGGCTGGCAGGGCGCCTTAGCCCTGCTGCACCACCAACCGGCCTTTTAACGAGCGGGTCAGTGATGCTGACTGGAGTTGCCCAGGTCCCTTTTCAACCAGGTGTTCCAGTCAAAAACTGAACGCCTGTCAACCCTATGAGCAATATGTATTTGAAATGTAAAAGTATAGAATACCTCATGTAGCTTTCACCATGAAAATTTTACCATGCAATGCCTAGGGAGCTTACAGGGCCTAAGAAGCCACCACATGTGTGTGGGGGGAAGGAGGGGGCCCCAACTAAGCTGTCCAGTAGGACCGAGGCAAAGGTCTTTAGGGCTGAGCCCCTCAAATGTGTTTAGGCACTTTTCAATATGCGTTAGAGGCCTAAACCCCTTTCACTAGCTGGGCCTAGGTAGGCACTGCCCTCTGCTCAGCCATGTCCCCCTCTTCTAGAGCTAGGTTCCTATGCCCTTTCTTGCAAAAAAAACCACCACACACACATGCCCCCAAGCCAGATGTGGTGCCTTTATAACCTTTAATACAGACAGGATGCTACTGGTAAGGACACCCCTACGTTGAGGCTTAGGCATGAGCTGGGTTCTGGAATTAGTGCACATGCCCAGCAACAGCCAGTTAGGTGTCGTAGGCCCTTTACCAATGGAAACTTGGGGGCCTAGAGACAAAGCACCTCCAGGGTTAGGCAGCCACTGAACAGGGTTTTAGAAGCTAGTTAGCTAAAGTGGCAGGTGCCCAAATCCCTTATGGCTCTAACCCCTAGGTGCAAACCCTTCCCTTGACTGCAATAGAGTTGTGCCCATTTGTGTTAGAAGCAATTGGCTTAATGTGTGCTCTGCGCATTCCTACCCTCCCCCCCCCACAGAAGACAACCAAGTCAGATATTTCTCACATTAGCTAAAAGCTCAGGGGTTAGAGCACTCCTATGGGATGTGGAAGAGCCAGGTTCAAAGCCTCATGCTCCCTGATTGGGAGCAGGGACTTGAAGCTGGTCTCCCCAATGAGTGGTCTAATCATCAGGCTGTGGAGTCAACCTCTGTCTGGCCCAGTGAATATTTAATTATTTAACACAAAGTGGAACAGCTTCCACAGGAAAGATAGAGTGCCATGAATACACTATGCCTGGTGATCAGGGCCACTCACCAAGGTTGCTGGAGACCTGGGCTCAATCCTTGCTCCAATTCAGGCAGAACAGAGATTTGCAAACAGGTGTCCCACATCCCAGATGAATGCTTTGACTACTGGGCAATTGGCTATAATGGGGTGGGGGGAAAATCTCTCTCTCTGGTTTTTCACGAAAAAGGGCTCACCTGGTTCAGGCCCCTAACCCCAGGAGGCTAAGAATTCTGAGCAGAGAGGAACCTCCATGTGGCCTGTCAGGCAAGACCCCACGACCCAAGTCAATGGGATTTAGACACAAGTACCTTTGTGGATTTGGGACCTAACCATCTCTCCTTTCCTCTTCATTTTACTGGTGGGTAGCTTCTTCAGCTCCCTGCTAAGCTTGCTGGCTTCAGCGAATCCTTTTCTTAGGCACCTAACGCTCCCCATACAATACATGGTGCACTTAAGTCGAGGCTGATGATTCTACTGGATGGCAGGATGCCTAGGCATTAGGTGTTGCAATGCACATCAAACAGCGACCATTAGTAGTTGCAGATGAGAAGTGACAAAGAAAAGTTCCTGACTACCCTGAAATATGCAGAAACTTCTGGGGAACTGGAGACAGTAGAAGATAACGCAAGTCTATGAAGCACAATTTAGGGTTTGGGTATAGCTGTCAGCAACACCTCTCATTCAGATTGCCTAAGAACTAGAGTGTCTTTCCTAGGAGCTGGGAATTGGAGTGACACATACAGAGATACAGTAGAGATGAACATGTCATGGGCTAACAAAACTCTTTCTCTTTAGCACTTTCTCTGTGAACAGGTTAATTTGGTCCCTGATGCTATATTACCTTATAAAGCAACCCTCATTTTAACACTGAAATGCAGTGTTGATACTGAAGTGTGTTAGGCCCAGCTCCTCAAAAGTACTTGGAGCCTATCTTCCATTGATTTCAATAGGAGAGTTAAGGCACTCAATACCTTTGAGGATCTGAACCTTAATCTTTATTAAAAGGGTGAAATGGGGTAATTTATTTTACTCAAAGTATTGTCCCCATCTCTAGTTCTCTGTTGACCTCTTGTGCTTACAGGCTTTGCCAGAGACTAAATGTAAACCAAATAATTTTGCACGTTAACATTTTCTATTTAAATACATATAACTAGGCCACATTGCTTCCTGCATTCAGCAGTGCTAAGTTCGCCTCCATTCTTTTTTCTCTGCATGTGCTAATGGAGCTCGAAGGGGTAAGTGGTTGCCATATAAATGTACAAATGCATTGGAGGAATTCACAAGATCGAACCTGAAAAAAGGAATTAAACCTCACACATTACTAAGTTAATTAGCATTTATAAAGCCTGAAAAGAGAAATGCGCGTCACCTTGATTCATCCGAGCTGAGTCATTCTGACAAAGATGCTTGAGTGGCATTTCATCTTGTTACCTGTTATGGCACTGAGGGCAGTGAGCTGCACTATGCAGGTTCCAGGGAATAAGCAGGGCTGTGCAGCACAAGCAGCAGACTGGATATGGCGAGGGGATCAAGTGAGGTTCTGCAGAAGGACCTGTGGGAGCCCAGCACATTTGCAGTGAGGCAACTGGTCATAAGAGTCAATGCCTACAAAAAAAACCCTTATAGTTCATGTGTCAAACATATTTTGGTTGCAGGGATCTCAGATACCCAGCAACAGCATCCCCAATAATCCATCTGTATCCCATCAAAGAAAGTACGACAAATGGGCTTCTTGCCTCTCCAAATTAAAGACTTGGGATACTCAGCCACTCTTGTATCTTTATCAGCCCTTCATTCTGTGCTGTTATATTTTATTTTAAAGGCAAGTCCATTTCCCCTCTCTGAGATGCTGCATTGCAGTACCAAACCTGCCTGAGAAGGCTGAAAGGATCCTCTTTCTAAATTATCCCATATTTATCACCATGAAATGCAACTGTATGATGGGTTGCCAGTGTGGAAGGTGTTTAAGACCAGTGTGACCTATTGGTTCTAAAACTAGAGTTTATAGAGTATTTCCAACTTCCAAGTGGTCTGTAAAGCTACTTCATGACCTGGATACTATAGTATTAGTTCAAACGGTAGGCAATGAAGGTAGAATGCTAGATATAATCTTTTGTAACCAGAGAGGAGAATTAAACAAAGTAGACACATCTCCCACATTTACAAGCCATATTTACATTTAGTGGCCTTAATGCTGTCCTAATATCAACTACAAGAGGTGTGATATAAATACACCCATGATTGATTTTACTTTTTCCAACTCACCAAGCACTATAATTGCAATGGGGTAAGTATAGAATCTTGACTAGGAGGCATGGTGTAAAAGGAAGAATTGGTCCAAGGATATGAAAAAGTTAGAAAACCATTCATGCTGCCTGTATCCTAAAAGTCCTTCTGTGTTGCTACCAGCTGCTGCCACCTCTTGAAACTCTGCTTTTAGAAACTGATCACTCAGATGTGATATGGGTTATCCATGTTACATGTGCAACTGGTTCTATACTACATCCTGAAATAGTGAGAGATGCACATGGTAGTGGCACTAGATTACTAGATGATGTATTAATTAATTGCTTCATAATTTATATGCAGCAATTCATCTGTATGTACACAAAGTCTTTGTCCTAAAACCCATTTTACCAGACTATTAGCTTCCCTATATTTGTAGGGACAAATCCTATGTGCAAGCAAGGACTGGGGACTAGCAAGAATCCTCTATTTGGGCCACAGAACAGCTTCCCAGCCATAGAGTGAGAGAATGAACCAGACGAGAGATGATGGTCACCTTGCTTAATGCACTATTGGAAGGCATTCAGATACTATGCAGGGAACGTAATGTAAGATCCTATATAAAATAGAATAGCGCTGTAGAAGTCCCTCCATGGCCCTGTGTAAAGGAGATATCCATATAGCTGTGAATTCACTACCCAACACCTTCTCCCTGCATGCTAAGGGATAAGGAGTAACCCCTTTCCACAAGCGAATTACATCAGTTCTGCTGACCCAGGGACCTCCTTGAGACAGCATAATGATCAGTGAAGGAAAAAGCAGCACCTTTGGTCTCATTATTCCTTTTATTTTCATATAAATTAACATTCTAAAAAAATTGAAGTAGAAACACTAAATACAGTATTGCACATAGCGATCTCTGTTAGATATCCTATTATTTCATTTAGTATGGTAATATACATACCGTTGGTACTGAAGGGAACAGGAAGGCTACAAAACCAAAACATGCGACTGTATCCTTGCACTTAAATAAAAATAAATGCAAAAGTTAAGAGCAAAAGACTATAGTTTACATAAATACAAACATGGGTTTGAATCAGTGCCATTAAAATAAACTTTATTTTTAAGTTACTTTCCATAGGTTACTCATAACAGCAAATCTCTTTTCCTTTTGCAAGAAGTAACATTACTCCCAACAACACGATTTTAGAAATCAATTCTTGATAATCATATTCTTGCCAGAAATTATCGTGAACACAGAATTTCATATAGTTTTATCAAGCTACAGGAGACTTATTTTTCACACAAGTGAAGAACATCTTGTCTAGTGCTTAGTATAAGTGACTAACAATGGATTCCTGAGGTCATATTTTACATTGCCCTTATGACACCTGGTACAGTATATTTGCCTCTGGACAGCCAGGAATGCCTTGTGATATACTAGGCTAGACAGGGAATAATCCACCCCAGCAAGTTAGACCTCAAACCACTCAGAGGTTTATGCTACCCCTGTGTCTTCGATGCTAAGAGATTGTGAGCATGTGAACCCAATTTATTCCACACATTGCTGTTTCCAAGAAAACAGTGCTTTGAAAGAGAATGGTTACAAGGCCAATTCATGTTGGGCTCAGTAGTTACATCTGGGGCAGAGGGTCTTTATTGGGTCAACAAATCAAAACTAATAAATCCTTAAGTTAATTTCCAGATCACAAATAGAAATTAATCATGTGGATTAAAAAGGAAGGCATAATCACAGATTTCCATTGCCTCCTAGCCAATGATATGGACTACTTAGAGAGCAAAGTTTATGACTCTGATGTTAAATGTGAAATTGACATGAATTAGTCAATCGCCATTGTTTTGTTACTAGAGTTGACTACTGTATTTCTCTAATGCCAATTCCTATATATATCTTTTTATATCCCTGTTAAAGGGAGTCTTAAATTAATTGAAAAGATAATTCAGAAAGGAAGTCTAGCTAGAAACATCGTAGTCCTGAGAATCCTATATGACTCAAATAATCAGCAATATAACTGTAATATCCCTTAAGTTTTTCTGCATACAAATCAGCTGCTTTACATGCTAGCAAGCTATAGTGCCCGAGTTCCTCTTTTATCCTCTGAAGTACTCCTGTGATTTTCTGTGTTTACTGCTTGTCACTTAAATGTTTTTGGTTCAGGTTTTCCAACTCCCCTCTCCTGCTATTCACTATCTGGCAAAAGATGAAGAAAAACTACGCTGCCTTATCGATTTTAAAGATAGTTACGGTAAACATCTTGTTCCACAAATATTTAGTCATGGTGGGCAACCAAACAAGTTGAGAAAGCATTGATTATACTGTATAAACAGCACTTAACGATTCAAAATACAAACTACAAATGTCGACGTGAAACGGATACAAACAATTCACTAGAAGTAACATTTCTTTCCCTAATCTAAATGCAGTGCCATGGAGTATTTGTGTTAGACAGATGTTGCCAGTAGGAATGGAAATATTTTACTGTATCAAGTAGCATTCTTGTGAAGTTCAACTTTAATAGAATTTTCAGCATGTTCAGAACTGATGCAGATGCTGCCTCTTAGGCATGCTGGTTTGGTCTACTGGTATTAGACCACAAACTTTACAAAATACCAGTTTTTGGGTGGAGAACGAGGCATGGGATATAGGGAACTTGTCTTATGTCCATAACTAATCTATTGCTGGGCACTTAATTACAGTGATTACATTCATTCATGAATGTACAGTACACATCTATCAGTGGGAAACTCTAGAGAACAAAAAGCAAATTTGAAAGGCCAAGAAGAAAACAATGATCTGAATGATGTAGTTTCCTTTCCCGTGCCCAACAGACATGTTGAGTTTTCCTGATCAAGTGGCAATGGCTTTTGCATTTCTTCTCTCAGATCTTCATACTTATCTTTGCTTTCTGAAAAGAAACACCATAAGAAGTTAAGTTATCATATATAAACATATGTATTATGCAAATATGTAAAGCACAGGGATACGTAGGCTGATCACCAAGTGTATCGAATATATAGTTTACTTATAAAACCCTGCAACAAACTCGGTTTTAAACAGATTTAAAGTACAAGATGGCTAACCATGCCTGTGAAATATCTTTTTTTTTATATTATTTGTAACTCTATTTATATTGTAAGCATTTTGTGGGCAGGGTCCATCCTTTTGTTGCAAGTACAGTGTCTAGCACAATGGAGTTCTGATCCCCAGTTGGGGCTTTTTAGCAATACAAATAATTATAAATGTTATTTAATGCATGGCTGTTCTTAAAGAATACCATCAATCTGCATGATTTTATTCTTACAAAGTGGAAAAATCCAACCAAACAAGTTTTTAAAACCTACATCTTGATGTGATTACAAATAAAGTTGATAAACTAAGATCTAGTTTACCATTCCTAGCCAAGCTATTACTTCATTTACATTTCCTGTGTCACTAACCACGGCCAGTTACAATGAGAAACAACAGCAATAATTCTTTTCTTCGTGTGTTGGATTATGCCAGAGAGATTATGGTAAATGACAACATGTTTCATTTCAAGGACATGTGTCACATGTCACAATGATTCATAAAATAGCATTAAATACAAAACAAACTGAATCATGTTTTTAGGGAAAAACATGACCAAGGAAATAGTCATTCATTTTTAAATATTGTCAAAAAAGAAGCATGGGCTGACACTATGAAAATTATGGACCAGATTAATTTTTCACTGGGAAAAAAATCCAGCCATTGTAAAATAGGCCCATGTTCTGAAAATGCTTATGCATGCACTTAACTTTAGCAATTTTAGTAGATGGCCACTGAAGTTAATAGGAATTGCTCATGTGCTTAAAACTAAAGATATGTGTAAGTATCTTCAGGAGCAAGGTGATAGTTTATAGGGAGCTGTATATAGCTCAAGAGATTAGTAAAAGTAGAGTACCTTCTTTTTCTAGATCTTGGTCTCTAACCCAGCCTAGGTGCATAGTGACTTACAGTCACTGGCATCTAATAGGTTGTCAGTGGCCCAGGGGACAGGTGACCTCATCACAAAATCCCCCATCACAATTGGAAGCTGAGCAGTGGGGCTGAGCATTGGATGAGTTTGGAGACTGAACTACCTCCTCACCAGCAAAGGTCTGTCTCTTCCAGGTTCAGGGGGATAAGGCACATTGGCAGGGCACTGTGGGGAAATTTTCACTGCCACTACCTGAGCTGCGTCTGTTCTGTGGATAAATATAGGACTTCAGGGTTGTCAATCTGGCACCTTTCACAAAAACGCTAAATTCAGACACATTTAAAAATAAACATTAACTAAATATGTCAGGATAACGTACATACAAAATGCAAAAAGAACAAAGAAAAAGAAAAAGTTAATAGGAGCAGTATAATATAATAATAATATAATAATAATAATGCAATCCGTTCTTACTATTCCAGAATCATGTCTTGGCTTTATATTATAAAGTGATTTCCCCTTTTTCTGTCTGCACACTTCCTCTGCTTCTTTAACCCTGAAGAAAGAAATTTTGATGAATATTTCACTGGGTTAAAGCCATTTGCAAGACAGCACAAGATGTGAATCAAAGATTAAAGTTTAAAGATAACAAATGTGTAACTCCCTCACCCCACCCATACATGAATATGCAATGGTCTGCAAAATACCATTCATAATAAGTATTTGCTATTACAATACCATCAAGAAGACTGTATAATTTACCAGGAAAGATGCAATAACTTCTAATTAGTGTACATAAAAATCACATTCTCTACCATATCATTAAAATTAGGATGCAAATATATCATGGTTAAAAAATATACTGTCTGACCCAAAGAGTTGCTTTCCAAGTGTACATATTGGAAACTGCATTTCCATCATTCATTGTTTACACTTCTGAAATGACCCCTCAACATTTCGCTGTCTGCATACTGCCAACAAAAGCTATATGCATCCGAAGAAGTGGGCTGTAGTCCACGAAAGCTTATGCTACTGTGAAACAAAAGCTTTGCCACTCTTGATTGTGACTATTCCCCAATTTGTCCTTCATTTACCCAATGATTTAATTCATTTTGGCAGAAACTTATGAAACGATTCAGCATAAATGTCCAGTCTTTGCTTTCATATTCATAATTGAGGAAACTTGGTTTTCAATTTAAAACACGAACAAACAGAAACATTTTTCAGTTTTAGAGCAGTTTACAGTCTCTAGTCCTGATTCTGTGATCATTTACTGCTGGGATCAGTGCTGATTATTAGGAGCTGACATCAGCGAGCCCGCTCACAGTAGTAAGTGATTGCAGGATTGGAGGCTAGTCTGGAATCCTTACTCACACAGTATTTATATATTTTGATTTACAATAAGTATGTACAAACCCACCACCAACCCATGCCTATTCAGGCACCTTTGTCAGATATTAAAAGTACAAAATAGCTGCTCCTCCGACCTACAATAAATCAAGCTCAAGCAATGCTCTCTCCCCCTCCAAAAACAGCCCTTATTATGCTCCTTCCTCTCCAAAAGCCTGGGTAGCCCTTGCAGCAGGCTCTGAACAGTGACACATTTGGGCTTTTTTAGAATAGGTTCTAAAGCTGAGGGGTTTTCGCAATGGGACTACTTGCTTCAATGCAGATCCCTCATGTGAGGAGGGCTGCAAGTCAGGACCTAATTAAATGATGCTCAGCAAACACAGCATCTATGATAGGATAAACCTCTCTGGGTCCAGCAGCAGGGTGTTGTCATTGGGGTACTACCCCCTAGGACCTGCTCCTGTCAGTAGCCTGCCAGAGCCCAGTTCTGGTGAGCTAAAGGACACTGTTTCAAATGTGTTTGCTTCATTAAGATTTTGATTGATCTGCGGTTCAATCTAATATTGCCATTGGGTGTTTGAAGCATTGATCCTGTGTCGGGCATTCCGTTATTGAACCTTTATGTTTCAGAGGCTTCTACTGGGTTATTTTGTAAATGGTGACTCTTAATGGGGTGGACTCTTGAGTGAAGGATGGCAATGTACTTTATAAAGAAAAATATAGCAAAAGAGAGTCAGGTAAAACCCATATTGACTTTCTGTATAGTTGCCAGCAGTGTGAATTTTGGAGACCGCGTACTTTGCCTTTTTATCATCATCCAACAGTGGGAAATAAACAGGAAAAATATACTGAAGGAATGAGTACAGAGACCAATGATACATCCTTGGGCTGGTCCCAATGGATATTCTCCAAACCACTTGCATGTCTGCTATTTCGCGGTGACTATAAGGAGCAATGTGAGAAGAAGTTAAAAAAAATCATTGTTTTATGTTATTAAGGGCCAGATTTTCAAAAGAGACCAGCTCCCATTTAGAAACTTAAATGCAAGTGGCCAGTTTTTCAGAAGCGCTCAGCACCCAGTGAAAATGTGACCCCCAAGTGTGTCTGCTGAGCACTTTTGAAAATTTGGTGTCAAGTCATTGTCCTTTTTATCCAACTTCAGCCAACATCCCCCAGCTTTTTCACAAATGCAAAATGTATACTTTTACAAATCAGCTTTGATCACAATTCTCTGCCAGTTGTGAAATCAAAGCTCTGACTGCACTCAACATCTTAAACTTAATATAGAAATGTTTCTAATTGTCCAGGTTTTTTTTTAAAAAAGGTGATTACACATTATTTCGAAACTGCATTTCCAGACTAAATGAGAAGCAGATGAGATGGTGCTGCACAATATACACAGAGCCTTTGCAAAACTGCTTAACAGCCAAGTAATGCGGCTTTTGTAAAAGGTATTGTAAATGGGTTCAATAAAGGTAGCAGCCAAGATGTAGTGGTAGCTTTACAACAGTGGCTTAGACAGATGGTATAAAATGCAGTCGAGTTCACAGGACTCTGTTTGTTCACTTCCAAAGACCGACTTACCCTTCCTAATCGACTTCTGTGTAAATTTGATCACATTTGAAGGAAGGAAAGTCACCCATCTCCTGTGGTCACTTCCTAATAATCTATTAGACAGTTTTTCCAAGAAAAGATATTACCTCACCCCCCCATGTCTCTTTAGACACATTTGAGACATTAAAAAGGGTCTATTACTAAGATTAATATACAACAGTATCTATCATTTTATGCAATTATAGCTGCTAGATAAGTGGCATATCCCACTTTAGCAAAAGTGGGTCAGATTCTTGGCTGCTGTAAATCAGCAGAGCTCCACGTGGCCTAGTATATGCTCCTAACTCATCAACAAATTCATGGGTTATACTAAATAATTGATATTCTGCAAATACTAAGACTTCTCAACAACCTCTAATGCAAAGAACAGATGGTGTGAAACACCCCACAATATTTTTCTAAACCAACTCACTCTGATCTGGAAATTGCTGTCCAGTAACATAAGGGAAGCTTTAGTTCCATGCTCTATCCCAACTAAGTGACCCATCCCTGGGACATACTGACCATTGTGTTTTATTGATGACCACATATGGCAGTTCTGTTGTGGACTACGAGTCAATGCAAAGTCGCTGACTTGGATATTTTCTGGTAGATGTCAGAGATGCCCAGGCAGATCCAAGAGAAAACTAACTGTTCATGGCATTACAATGGGAACAAAAAAAACCTCACATATATTGTAAGTACTTTATCAGCATAAGGTGCTAAAATTCTACCTTTTTCAGTGGAATCTTTGAGCTATCCAACATTGATTTCCCCTCCATTCTAAAAAGAATATTATTTCTAAACCAGATAATATTGTAACTTAGAGCTGGTTAACATATTTCAAATTCCAAAATTGACAAAGTTTAATTAAAATTTTGAATTTCATTCAGAAAAGGGAAGAAATAACCATAAATTTTAGTGAAAATGTCTCCATATTTCAACCAGCTCTAATTATAGGTTGTGGTCCTATATGAAAGAAATCCTACAGAAGCTGACAGGCAGCTTGGCCAAACCTGAGCGGTGTGGGGCTCCAAGAGTGCTGGGTAGGCAATGGGAGCAAGCAGAGCTGGGCAGCCAGGATCAGGAGGAGTTGATCCTGGGGAGGCACTCTGGTGAGTGGCCAGGAAGCGGGTAGTGCGTGAAGGGCTGGGGGGGCAAGTTGATGGTGGGCTCTGAGGTGAATAAGGAGTGTTGGGGACTGTAGGGTGAGGGGCTAGAGCTGAGATTGGGATCTTGGAAGGTCAATGGGGATTTGGGGAAAATGGGGGATGCTGGGGGCTGAGGTCAGTGGAACGAATGTCAGGGCTGCTGGTGTGATGTGTGTGGGGGCTGTCAGGAGAAGTGGAGGCTGATGGAGGGTCGTTTGGGTATATGTGGGTGGGAGGGAGGGGTATTCAAAGGCTTGTGTGGGGTTTTGTGGGGTAGGGAGCACTTTGCTGAGCAAACCTGGTGCAGGGGGTGTTTATACCGCAGAGGGCTGGCAGCAGCTGAAGCAGAGCACTTCTGCTCTGGATGTGCTGCTCTGGCAGAGAGGACTGCGAGGCAGCATCCTCAGAGGTTCTCATTCCTCTCGTCTGTTTCTCCTACAGAGGGAACTCACTTCTCAGGAGGATAATTTACATTGGAAACAGCCCCAGCCCTGCTCCTGCCAGCTCTCCCCCTTCAGCTCTCCCTTTGGGTTAAAAATACATAGAGGACCCCCCTCTGTGAGAGACAGATAGCTCAGTGGTTTGAGCATTGGCCTGCTAAACCCAGGGTTGAGAGTTCAATCCTTGAGGAGGCCACTTAGGGATCTGGGGCAAAAATCTGTCTGGGGATTGGTCCTGCTTTGATCAGGGGGTTGGACTAGATGACCTCCTGAGGTCCCTTCCAACCCTGATATTCTATGATTCTATGATCTAGCCAGCAAGTCCTCACCTTCCCCCAGACTTTGTATTCCCATCTCTGCTGCTTCCATTCTACCTTGGGCAGGGGCTGGGTGACAGCTGCCATGGCATATGGATCTCAGTCTAGTTTGGCAAAGTGTGTGTGTGTGTTTTAGCTGGGGGGAGGCAGCATACGTTCTCTGCATGCCATAACAAGTCATAGGTGGGGTGGAAATCAGTAAGTTCACTGCTGCTGTTTTGTATTACTACAGCTTTGGAAGAGAACTGCAGTGTTTATATTGGTTTGTTAAGGAGTGGCTTGTTTTGAGAGACAATAGGACTTGTCACTGTTGAAAAACCTGGCCACCCTGCTTGGCCACCCTGCTCAAATTTGCCCCTCCCCACATCATGACAGAGGTGTGTCTGGGTCAAACCTGAATGAGTGGTGCTTGCCTCCCCCCATACTTCTACCATAGCCACTGAATCATCAGCAGGCTCATCATGTCTGCCCCCTGAAAATCCGCTGCACCCCCACAGTGTAGAACCTCTGTTTTAGGGGGCAAGAGGAGAGTAGCATACTGACTTTTTGCCTAAGACGGCAGATTGTCTTGTATATCACATGCACTGTCTACTTTAAGGAAGGCAGGGCCCCCAACATCCACAGAGTACAGGGTCCCAAAAATCTTTAACCTGGACCTGTTTATATATATTGAAATCTCCAACTGCAACTTTGACTGTTTTGCAG